GATAGGATAATAAATAAAAGTGAGTATAATTTTAAAGACAAATAATTGACTGATAATGTCAGAATTAATATCATAATGGTGGGTAATAAAGCAAACAATTAACATTTCCTTCATTTTTCAAAATAAAGAAAAAATTATTTAATTATTCAAAATATTATGACACTTTTAGCCATTGTTATCAAACTCTCAAGTTGATTTTTTAAGTTTATTATTTTTACATTTTTAACTTATAAAATTATGTTAACTCGCTCATAAACTTGAATTAAATAAACTTAACTAAACTCACGAGTTGACTATCCGAGTTTACTATTTTTACATTGTAAGCTTATAAAATTATTTTAATTTGCTTATGAATTTATTGGGCAAGATATGTATATATTATCTAAAACTTTATTCATAGAAGTGAAAAGACCCGATTCAATAAAAAATAATACTAAAAAACAAGAACTAATATTGATGAAAAAAGGCAATAAAAAATAAGTTGCTCTATTTTAAAATTTTTATATTGAATATAATAATTTACGAACGTAGATAGATTTAATTTTCATAATTTATATTTAAAATATATTTAAATTAAATTATAGTCATATTTTATAGTTTAATTATTTAACTATATATTTTTAAGAACTATTTATTAATAGTGGTAAACTTTTATGAATTTATGATCCAGATTTATGTTTCAAATTTGCATCCTTGTCATGTAACAGCCTTGCTCTTGACATTAGAGACAAAATAAGTTTTCAAATTAAAAAAAAAATATTTTATGTATAAAGGTAGAGGTAAGATCTTATAATATGATATTAAATAGAGAGTGCGGTGTCCATCATTTTTTAATTTCAATTTTTAAGATGTGAAACAGCAATATGTACTCTCGCGGAAGTTATGAGTCGAATTATCGAGTCCAATGCAATTTTCATTATATTAAATAAGATTTAAATCGAAATCCTTAATTTGTATTATGTCAATTTAAATTTAATTTAAAACATCACAATTTATAATTGAATTTGTCATATATGTACTCAATTACAATATAATAATTCAATAAGGGCCTGTTTGTTTTATATTTTTAAAAACTCTTTTTTTTGTTTTTGAAAATAGAAAATTTTAAAACTTATTTGAATAAGTATTTTTCATTTAATTGTTTTTAAAACTGTTTTTATTTTTTATTTTTAAAAATAAAAAATAGAAATAATTTTAAGTTGTTTTCATTTTATTTTTTTATTTTTAAAATATACTACATTTGATTATTAAAAATTATAATTATCTTGATCAATTTATATTATTAGTCACCACCATTAACTACTATAAGCATTACTATTAGTCCATTTTTTAATTTTAAATTTTTTAATTAAAATAACCAAATGGATTTTTATCTTGTTTTGCTTTGAAAGATAATTTTAAAAACTGTACTGTGAAGCAGTTTTTAAAAATAAAAAAATGAGAAGAGAAACCAAAATATTAAATCTAAGTTTACTACATCTGAAACAATTAAAATGTACTCTGTAAGCGCGATCCTCACCAACACACACACACAGTTTTTGCAATTTCGCATACCAGGAGTTGAATTTAACATAGAGCTACGGCAATGGCAAAGAATAAATTATAAGAAGCCAAATAAGATGTTTTAATTTTATGTCCCAAAATAGGTGTTTTAATTGAAAAAATATAATGTTTTATAAATCAAAAGAAGGCGCTTTAATTGTATGGGGAGATCAAAGAGGATGAATGAAATATTTTATTTAATTTATTGAATTAACTGTTTTGGCAAAGTATATGTTCAAATAAATGCGTCACATTGGACTTACTCATTTCTGTCCTTTTAAAAAGTATAGAGATAAACAATTATCATTTTTTTTTGTGACATTGATCTTAGGAAAAATGACAAAAAAATTCCTTTAAATTATGTAAATAATTTTTTAATCCCTCAAAATGACGTAATTTTTTGAAAATCCTTGAATACTTTTCTGTCATTGAAGAATTAATATAACTAATTAAATTGCTCTCAATTCAAACTTATAACTTGCTGTTGAATTACTATAATTTCAAGGAAAAAAAAGTTATAAATCTTATAATAAAACTTATAAATGACAATTAATATTTGCAATACTTGAAGAATATCAAGATTTCAAATGTAAACTTGTGAATTTCTATTAAATTTTTATAATTTTAAAAAGAAAAATTATGAATCTTAGATTAAAACTTGCAAATGATAAGTAATATTTAAATTAAGGATAATTTTATTATTTATATTAATTTTTTAATGACAAAAAAGTTCTTAAGAATTTCAGAAAAATCATGATATTTTAAGAAATTAAAATATTATTTACATAATTCAAAGGGATCTAATTGTCACTTTCTCTTGATCTTATTTATCATAGCATTAAATTTTATCAAAAAATTTCCTGATCTTATTTATCATAGCATTAAATTTTATCAAAAAATTTCCTTTTTATTTTCATTAAAAATTGATCAGATAAAATTCCTTATTTAAAATTTATTGAATTTTTATATAAAATTAATAAGTTTTTAAATTTTTTTAAATTCAAATCACAATAAAATATATCAAAAGTAATTTATAAATAGAAATAGATAGCATATTTTTTTGTTAATTCACTCCCACAGAAAATAAGCACTTTGAAGTTTGAACTATGTTTTTTTTTTTGGCCTGGAACCATGTTGTTTTTACTCTTATCCTAAGAAAAATTGATCCAATTTGGTAACTTTTTTAACCATTTATAGGTATTTTTTTTTATTTAAAACAATTATATTTGAAGCACCATTGGGTATTTCGTGAGAACTTCTCTTAATAAAAATGTAAGCCTTTGTTTATTATATTATAAAAAATTAACGTTTTTTATTAGATCCAATCCTCAATGGCAATCCACTTGGTAACTTTAAGACTGTGTTAAAAAGATACATGTAGCTGGTTAGCTGAAGAATGATAGCTTGGCCACCAGGTTGGTTCACTCATTTTTCTACCCTCTAATTATTTATGCCAAAACAATTTTAACCAATTAGACCACAAAGCATGTCAAATATTAGTATTATAAGTATATTACTTCTTTCGTATTAAATTATAAGATAATTTAAAATAAAATTATGTATATCAATAAAATACAATAATAACACTTTATAAACTAACTTTTTAAGAAAAATGTAAACTTTTAAAAATAATCTTACACACTTAATGATTATGCTATGATATTATTTCAATTATTTTTTCACTTGAAAGGTATTATTGAAAAATTATTATTCTCAAATTGTCTAAATCTTAGGACAACAAAATTATTTTAAAATTGTTTTGTTATTTGGAATGGAAGGAGTACTTTACTAATTTACCATATACTCATTTTTTTTGGCTTTTTTGGATTTAACCTTAAAAATCATATTATAAGTTACTCCCCTCAAACCATAATATAAATTACGAGTATCTTTTAAAAGCTATTTGATTTAAAATATAAGGTATTAGGTAATTTTTATAATTGTTTTTTCAACCATATCATTACTTCATTTATTATTCTCTTTTTTCAAATGATACATTAAAATTTTAATTATTATTATTATTATTAAAGTACTTATATAAAATATTTAATTTTGGTAAAAAATATAAAATTTTTAATAAGGGTGAAATTAAAAAGAGATAATTTTTTTTTAAAATTAAGTTTTTAACTAATGATTTTTTAAAATCATGAAAAACTTATCAGTCTCGCGACAGGAGGGATACAGAAGAGTCAAAAACAGAATCGGAATCATTGGATTTGCAGACATTGAAACGTGTGTCAATATTTGTCCTTAATTTAGTATTAGCGCCACATGAACAGCATGTTTTTTGGCATTCCATACCGCATTGTATATTGATCCAATGGTATATCCTTGAACGTGTAAAAGTTTGCCTTGCCAGTGAAAAGTTATTTAATTTTTCACTAACCAATTTTTTAAATTATAGATTTATGATAAAAAGGAGTATAAAAGTATCTATGACTTCGCAAAAAGTCACTGAATATTACAGAACATAATTTTAGTGTTTATTCATAAGGGAATTTGAATTATTGATTATCTTTCCACGATTACCCCAGTTCTACCTGCTAAATTAGCTCTAGCCTGGAGGTGGCTGAAAATTAATTTTATTATTTAAATAATTAACACCTACTAATCTCCAGAACACTGCTATTATGAAATATCTAATTTATCTAGCTGTTTTTTCTTCTTCTTGAGTTTCACGTATATATGCAAGATACGTTCTAAACTATCCAAATTTAATACCAACAAAAACAATTCATGTCAATATTTTTACTTTTAACATATAACTAGTACTTATAATTATTAATATTTTTTTATAAAAAGTTAAAGAACCATCTTCATTTTATATTAGCCCTAAAATATTCTCAAAATAAAAAATAAATAAATTTTAGCCATGCATGTTAAAATCAGAACGGTCACAATGATACAAAATTACTCCTAGTCCGAGGTCTAGAATGTATGACCCAAACATGATGCAAGAGAGAGGACCATAAAATTTATCAGCGCTCAAATTAATTGCCTTCTCACGGCAAGAACCCTTGCCTCGTTTTCTCATCGATGTTTTTCTCTGTCTCTAGAAATTAACATTCAATTAAATTAGTGCCAAAAATTTCAAAAGAGGGAAGCAAAATTTCTGAGCTATACTTTGGAATCTTGCATGACTTTATACCCCATCCCTTTAGAAAATGAAAGAAAACATTCGGGCAAACGCTGCAATTAATGGTCACGTTCTCACATTATTGATCAATCTGTCCCTCCCTCTCCAGCCACGCTCGTTTGTTTTGTCAAAATTTTCAGCACAAAGCTACAAAGTCAAAGAGGGCGCCAAGGGCAATCTCGTCATTTCCCCTCAACCAACTGTCTTAGACTCGATCGGATTAGAATGCTCTTCTCACTCGTTTTAACCCTTCATTAAACAATTCTCACGCCAGTATCTCCCATCATATTTAATTTTCTCCTCTCCCAAACAACACTATTATTCCTCCTTCCTATATATATAACACACACCACGAGACTTGGTGCATCAGATCAAACACTCGCAACAAAAAGGAAAAAGAAGCTCGAACCTATTCTCATCCTTCTCTACGAGCTTCTTCTATATGAGATTGTAGATTCACGACGATCGACCACGTGATCAAGATTAGTTAACTTAGTATGGGTTTGACATCTATGTTTAGGAGTTGCTTCAAGGCGGAGGGTCGGGTTGCGGTGCCGGCGTCGAAGGCTAAGGTGGTGGCGACGAAGCAGAGTTCGTACCCCTGGGTTTCAGTGTCGGATTTGAGCAATCCGATAAGCGGCACGCTGTCGGAGGATCTGTCGGTGTCGCTTGCCGGATCGAATCTGTATGTGTTTACGCTGGCGGAGATGAAGCTGATCACGCAGGGATTCTCCTCCGGTAACTTTCTCGGAGAAGGCGGCTTTGGACCGGTGCACAAGGGCTTCATAGACGACAAGCTCCGGCCGGGTCTTAAGGCCCAGACTGTCGCCGTCAAGCTCTTGAACCTGGACGGCTCTCAGGGCCACAAGGAGTGGTTGGTGCGTTCTTTTTTTAACTTTTTCGCAACACCCCAAAAATATCCTTCATTATTTTTTCAGCCTTCAATTATTATGTCCCCTTTATATGTGCCTTACAGCTAATGAAAATGCCAGAAAGAAAATAATGGATAAATAGATGACACTCGCATATATATTTTTTATAAAAAAATAAATAAAATTACACATTATCTAACATTCCGTTTCCAATTGTTTAATTCAAGAATTATATATTGGTTGAATGCATTTTTATTATACAAAAAATTCAATTTCTAGTAAATAATATTTGTGGCCATAGTTTGTTAAATTTGACAATATTATAGTTTAGTTTATTATAAGATGGTAAATGAAGATGAAAGAAGAAAGTTTCAAAAACTAGTTAGCAAAACAACATTGTCTGGATTTAACTCTGTATGTAATTAAACTTAAAATATACAAGAGTCCAACATTTTTGTGCCGCCACGATTGAATAGATTAAGAACAGTATTTGTCTAAGAAATATAATCGTTTTCTTACAGCAAGTTGTGGTGACCCTTCATTTGTTTTTAACTGTATTTTTCAAATCATGTTGCAGACTGAAGTTGTTTTTCTGGGACAACTAAGACACTCCCACCTGGTGAAGCTGATCGGATATTGCTGCGAAGAAGAACACAGGCTTCTGGTATATGAGTATCTTCCTAGAGGCAGCCTAGAAAATCAACTCTTCAGAAGTAAGCCATATCTCAAGTTATTATTACACTCTAATTATAATCGCCTTCTCTCATCTCAATCTTACTAATCTTCTGGAATTTATATTACAGGATACTCAGTATCACTGCCATGGTCAACCAGAATGAAAATCGCCGTCGGAGCCGCCAAGGGTCTTGCCTTTCTTCATGAAGCTGCTAAACCCGTTATCTACAGAGATTTCAAAGCCTCAAACATCTTACTAGACTCAGTAAGTTTCCTATATATATATATATATATATATGTACATGCACATCCACATACATATACATCTTAATTTAACCGATTCAGTGGCTAATTTACAACTCGTGTGACCGTTCAGGATTACAATGCGAAGCTGTCTGATTTCGGGTTGGCGAAAGATGGCCCTGAAGGAGACGACACACACGTGTCGACCCGAGTGATGGGAACTCAGGGCTACGCGGCGCCTGAGTACGTCATGACGGGTCACTTGACATCCAAGAGTGACGTGTACAGTTTCGGGGTGGTTCTGTTAGAGCTTCTAACAGGACGAAGATCAGTAGACAAAACCAGGCAAGGAAGAGAGCAGAACTTAGTAGAATGGGCGAGGCCAATGCTTTACGATACGAGGAAGCTTGGCAGAATCATGGACTCGAGACTTGAAGGTCAATACTCTGAGATGGGTGCGGCCAAGGCTGCTGCATTGGCTCACCAGTGCTTGAGCCACCGGCCCAAGAACAGACCCACCATGAGCCAGGTGGTCAAGACCCTCGAGCCACTTCAGGACTTCGACGACGTCCCTATCACACCGTTTGTCTACACTGTTCCCGCCAATGAACCCAATGACTCGAGGGACTGTGCTGAGCCGCCCAGGGAGAGAAAGAATCATCATCGTCATCACAGACACCACCCTCTGAGATCGCCCAGGTCGCCGCCGGATAATAATAAATCTGCAAATTCTTCACAGTCTCGCTATGGAAGCTCGAGTGGAAGCGGATCCAACTCACCTACTTCGCGTCATCACAAGGCCAAAGGAGCTTGATTGATAGGTGGAAAATGAATGAATGGTCAATATTGTACAGAGAGATATTTTTAATTATTATAATTACTTGTATATTTTTATTAGTGAAGAGAGCGTTTGAAGTTTTTTTTTTGGTGAAGAAAATATGCCAAGCTAAGTGTAATGATTCAAAAACAAATTGGTGGAATTGAGGTGGTCATCGGGCATGGTAAACATGCTTGAGTCGATAATCATTATTTTTTTTTTTCCTTCTTTTGTTTAATTATTATTTTTCTGTTTGGTTGGAAAAAATGATTATTTTGACTGGGCCATACATGAGAAGGAGGGTGACCGGTTCAGAGAATATAGAATATGGAGAATCACCAAACATGGATTTGTTAAACAAATATCTTTTCAATGACATTGGATACAGCTAAGCGGTTTGACCAACCAACACGGAGACAAAATGGTGAATCGGTGACAAGTACGCCGCTATGGTCACCAAAACACCAAATGAATTTTCTGAATTAATTAATTTTGGTTTTATAGTAAAACGAACAAATTAAAACTTTTTTTTTTCAATTACAAGAACAAATTAAAACAGCGCATATAGCTAGAGTAAGTACGAGTATGTTTTTACAGGAAAAAACAATATTAATAAGCAGCGATAATAAAAATATGATAAAATTAACGAAAAATTACATATACGTCCCAAATAAAAAATTAATTGCTTATAAGTCTCATCCATCTATATATGCTATAATTTAATATGTAAATACATAAATTTGACTTGTAAATAGATTCAACAAACAACTATTTTTTATTTAAAACTTCATTGTAATTCTCCCTGAAAATAACCATAAAGCTGGTTCAAGACTTCAAGTGATGAATGAAGGCAGAGAGAATACAAGTTTTTAAAAAAATTTTATTAGTATTATATAAACGCAATACATTTTGTAGCTTTTAAATTTATGCAAATTTTCTATTATACTCCCTCCATTTAAAAATATAGGGCATTTTTTAAAGGCTTGGATGTTAAAAAATGTAAGGTATTTTTAGCCTTTCAACATGTAATCATTGTCTTTTTTTTTAAGTGTCTCTATTGATAATGACTTTATATTTATTGTAAGGTGTTTAATAAGAATAAATATAAAAAGATAGGGTTAATTTAAAAATAGGTAACTACTTTATTGAAAGATAACATTTAATTAAAAATGCCTTACATTTTTAAACGGAAGGAGTATATGTTTTTGGATCTTGGCTCTGTCTCAACTTGGCCAAAGGTTTATAGCCATATGGGCAAAAGGCTAGTAATTTTAATCCTCTTAATTTAGTATACAAATAAAACGTAAATTTGCATTATTTCTTAATTAAATTTTTGTATCCATTTATTTTCCTTCTGTCTATGTCTAAGCACAAATGCACAATCAATCAAACAAAGATTGTGTAACGTGCAAGTAAAAAAAGAAAAAAGCATATTAAAACTTGTTCATTATATTTATAATTCATCGGCTCATATATATCGTTGCGTAAACGTCACCGATTTTATATTTCGTTTTCGACAGTTTAACTTGGTCCAATATTTTTTTTCCCCTAATCAAGTCCACGTAATTTCCCGGATAAATACGTCTTGAATATCTTGAATAAATGCTTCTGGATTTTTTAATTGATTACATATGTTAAAGTTCATTATTTGAAAAAATGTTTGAATTATTAACGTTTGTTCCTTTTCATCTCTAACAAAAAGCCATTGTTTACTCATAAATTATTTTTATTTTTTCATTATCCATGCACTATCAACGTGTACGATAACAATTAGAAAGAGTAGCTTGTTGGGAGAAATTTGAGTGCACTGATAGGATTTTTTTAGGAAAAATGAAAATTTATTTTAATTATTAATTTAGTTCATTAAATTTAATTTTTATTGATTTGGTCATTTACATTTATTTAACTTCTTATGTTTGTTTTTTAAGTTTTAAAGTACAAATTGTTGCTTTTGCTTTCCTGATTAGCGAGTGTAATCTTTTTTGACTATTAAGAAATTTGACTGTTTTCTGTTTAAAAAAAAGGGCACAAAATTCCTACCAAAAAAAAGGGCACAAATTGACTATTCAATTAATCTAATGTGTAAAATATATATATTGATAACTTGACACATACATGTAATTAAATGAGAATCAATTAACTCTTAAATTAATTTAATTTTTATAAATCTGGTCTCTAGCACCTTGTTATCTTTTTTTTTTTAATTTTCGAGTATTTTTTTATTTAAATAATTACATTTTCTTATTAATTTATAAGTCTATCATCAATATTTCATTATTCATCTTAGCATATTTTTATAGTGTCACCCTCCTCTTTAAACAATAAGGATTACATTGATAATTGAGGCCAAATTCAAGAGACTAAATTCATAAAAATTAAACTTGAGAAGTTAATTGATAACTAAGATAAATTTAAAGGACTAAAAATTTTATTATCTCAGTTATTTTTTAAAGAAAAATATTGAGAAGCTCGGCATTGTACGCACAATTAATCCAGATGGATAACATAAAATGCAAAAAGAAACATCCAACGTATGAAAATGATGGGCAAACCCAGAGGCCTCTCAAATTCTGCGGGTTTGGAGTAAATATATTATTATTATTATTATTATTATTATTATTATTATAAATTGCAAATATGTCCCACTAATGCAACTAATTAGTATTAGAGTATTGATGCAAAAAAATCTTGCACCTAAAAAATATGGACCAAATTTTAAAAAATTTAAAGTGTGGTTGGTTCATATTAATATATAAAGAATTTATCATTGATATATAAAAAGTTATTATTAATATACAAGAGGTTTATTATTAAAAATTTAAAAATTTATAATAAGTTTATCATCAATATATAACAGTTTATCATTGACAAATACAATAAACTAACTATAATACAAAATATAATAAATGTTGGGCTATTTATTTGATTTGGTCTCATAATATAGGCTATATTTGCAAAATCCCTATTATTGATCTCCAAAATGTGCTTAATTCTAAATATGGTAAAGTCCCAAAAATACTTATCAAGTGATCAACCAGAAGCATATAACTAGTAGCCTAAAGTAAAAAAAAAAGTTAATGCAAAAAAATCAATCCGTCAAGTGTCTCAAATGTTCATTAGTTTTAAGTGCTAAAGCTGAGTGCACTTGCCAAGTGTGAAGATTGACTACTTTGATGATGCCACGCAAGTTGGAGAAATTTTGACCATTGCCACGTGTGAATCTCTTTTCCCACAAATACTTCCTCTGGCTTCCTCATGTGACCTTCTTGTGCTCCTTCATCACATCGACCCACAAACCTTCTTGTGCTCTCTGGTAACCCAAAGTCCTTCATCATGGCGATGGCTGCGAACTCATGTGATCAATTGGATACCTCTTGATGAACTAGGCAATGTGTAATGGTGAAAATGGGACAAGTAGCAAAAGACTCCAATTAGCACAATCTAGAGAGTGATGAGAGTCGTCGTAGCTCTCAGACCGAGGTTCAAATGTATGGATATGATGTTGCAAGAATGTTAGATGGAAAAGGATACTAGAATTGGAGCTATCATGTTTTTGATGCTTGACATACTCAAAACCTAAAGGCTCCAAGATGAAAGTCGTTTGACTCTAGTAATGAAGGTGCCATTGATTGGAAGTGATGCGGCTATGAGGCTCACCAATGAAAGTTTGTCAATGGGAGTGGAAACTTGGGAGTATTTTTGAGCAACAAATTTACTTGATGCCTTGAAAGTGTTCTTTGTTCGATTCTCATGTTATTGTGTTTGATTTCTTTGTCTTTGATTCCCTTCTTTGATTTGTATTTTTTTTTGTTTGTAATTTATTGTTTGGATTGTACAATTTTTTTTGGATTGATTGTTGTTGAGTTTTGAATTGATTATTTTTTGAAAATTATTATTAAATTTTGGATTGATTATTTTCTGAGCAATTTTTCTGACAATGATGTGATGAAGGTGTGGTGGCTTGCTGATGCATTTCCTTTTGACAATGATGGTCCTTTTCCTTGCCTTTGTGGGTTTTCATTCATGGGAGACAAAGAAGAAGCACAGATGGCAAGCACACTCGAATCCACGTCATATTTTCTATTAATTATGTATGGGGAGAAGGACTTAACATTGAAAATTAACAGACATCAATGATAATTAACGGTTTGGTTACTCTTGTCTCTATTAAAACAATGGTATAGGTATTTATTTATTTTTTTACTTTAAGTTATTGGATGCTTTTGGTTAACAACTTTTTGGATATTTTAGCTTTTTTATCCTTATAAATAATCTTGAGAGATCTCTAGCCTGTCATTTGACAAAAATGATAAAAATGTTGGGCCTATGGAGTATTTTGAAGAGGGGAGAACATAGTTGGGCCACACAATGGTTCTAGAAGAATACATATAAGTGAGTATAACACTACATCTTAACCTAAAATTTTAAGGCATTGAGTTTATAGGTCATTTTACTTATATATATATCTTCTTTAGCCCAACTCTATTCGATATGAGACTTTCTCCACACCAAGCCAAGTTCACTCACACTTAACAAACAATTTTTCCCTCAAGTTGAGTCTATCATTGACTACACAAATATGTGCTCTCCCTATTCGCCCACACTTTGAAGACACCAACTTGCTACCAATAGCTTAGCCCAATAACACTCATGGGCTTTCAAGGTTTTTTCCACTGTTTTCACATTGGGTCCCTTCTCATAACCTAACTATGATACCATTTATTAGGCTCATAAAGCATCTTTGAAGAGGGGAGAACATAACTCGGCCACCCAATGGTTTCAAAACGATATATATAAATGAGTATGACATCACATCTTAACTCAAAACTTTAAAACATTGAGTTTATAGGTTTTTTTCACTTATATATTTCTTTTCTAACCCAACTCTATTAATGTGGGACTTTTTTTCACACCAAACCAAATCCACTCACACTTGACAACTTAACAATGCCCTCAATCTAGCTTTAGTCTATCTACGACAACACCAATAAGCAATTGAAAAATAATATTTTTACTTAAATATTTTTTATTAGGATGTTAACATTCTAGTATTTACAAGTTCTCCTACTCAATTCACAAGTGAACCTCTTAAATTTGCAAGCAAATCTATGTGTTTTTTATATTTTTTTTTCCTTTCAAATTTTACAAATCAATTTGTAACTATTCTTTTAACACGCTGGAAGCTGATGGTATATCAATATAATATATGCACTGCTTCCTTCC